TAATAAATATTAAATATTATAAAGAGGATAATAGAAAGAAGAGCACAGAATATGGAAGATAAAAGATAAAAGACAAAAGAGAAGACAGTATATAGAAGATGCTCTTTGACTCAGTCTCAATTAAAATACATTTGCATCACCTCATTTCTCACTGGGTCTTCTTCTCATATGAACTATCCAAAATCTGTGCTGGGCATTGGGCTAACAGGCTTGGGGTCCCAGCCCGCATCGGGGTCTCGGCTGTCACTCATTTGTTGCTTTGTATTTCATGGCCCATTACACGCTGCGATCGTTCAGGCTCTAAGCTGTTGGGCTTGCTAAACCAACTCGTTTGTTTACCTGCTGCTCAGCAGTCCCTGTCCATGTTTCTGTCCACTTTCTCGTTTACAGATTTCGCCAGGGCTTTAGCACAAACTTTGTCCGGCAGGGCACTGATTTTGTTTTTCTTCTAAAATATGAGCTCGAATTGTGCACACACAGGCACACAAAGCCAATCAGTTTGCCAAGCACACATACACGCTCGGGGCGGTGAGGGAGCTATGGGAGGCCCGAGTAGCTGAAGGTCTGATGTGTGTGTGTGTGTGTGTGTGCACAAATTTGTGCAAAGTTTTATATTTTCTTGCTGGCAAATTTTTGGACAGCGTAAGAAGCAAGAGAAAAAAAAAATCATGTAAATTGTAAAACCCACAAGCAGCACAATGTGTGTACGTGTGCGTATGTGTTTGGGATGAAAGAGTGTGTGCCACCCACACACGCCCACACACATGCACACACAGTTACAATAGCATCACACATATGTCTCGGGACTTGCTCTTTCGGGCGTGACACTGAAGGTGTATTTGTCAAATGTGCACTCATTTTGTTGAAAAATTGAAGTCTATGCATGACTGCTCCACTGCCCCTGTCTATGTGTGAGTAAGTGCGTGTGTGTGTGTGTGTGAGTGTAGGCGTTTGGCTAAGCTATGCCAAAGCGAGAATCCTTTTAGTGTCTGTGCAGATTTTCCAAGATTTCCGGTCACTTCACTAATAAGTTTTACAATGTTTAGCATAGAAAAATGTGTTGACACAACGCCTGCAATCCGAGTATGTGTGTGTGTATGTGTTTGTGTGTGTACAAGCATGCTTAATTTAATTTCCATTTTCATATGTACACAACAAATTGCCATAGAGCCCAGCTCATGTTTGTCTTTAGCTTTGTGCCCCAGTTCCAGTTCCAGTTAAAGTTTCCCGTTCCCGTTCCCGTTCCCGTTCCGTGCTCCCTTTATCATTCGTGCGTCTCTTTTTTGCCGTAAAGCCATTATTCTCAACGCCATCAGGCTTAGCAGCTCACAAATTGTCATAAATGTTTGTATGCGTTAGTTAAAGAGCGTTTCCGTTTTACCATGAACTAAAGCTGAGCTACTGACAACATTGCATCATTTTGGCCAAGTTATTAAATGAAACTTTTGAATTATTGAAATGGCTTGAAATTCGCAACTAGTTTAAGCAAGAATTTGAAATATTTAAATTCTAAATCTGAATTAAATCTGAATCTGAATTTCATCCTAATTGAAATTGATTATTGAGATATATTCATTAGAAATATGTATATGAAATATAGAATAGAAATTTATAATAGTATAATCCATATGTATATAGATTTAACCCATTTCATTTCTGTGAAATTCCAATCTATTGCTATGTCGCCTGATATATCATAGTATATATCACACAATATAATCTTACTAGAATATGAATACTTAAAATATATCATTCTTATCTATTGAGAGCTCGCCTGATAATGTATAATCTTATACATATATACCACATCTATATGTATGTAGACTTCACCCATTTCATTTCTGCCGTACTCCTCCTCCTATCTATTGCTGTTTTGCCTCTCGTTGCTGTGTCCTCTGCAGCCTGGGCGTGACAATTACATCAAGTGCGAGAAGTGCACAACTTGGTTAATTGACTAACACCTGGCAGGTGTGTGATCAAAGGTGAGCACTGGAAATGTGCACTGCCAATGTCAGCCCGAAATTGCAACTTGTGCAGAGAAGTTGTGCTAAAAAGTGAATGACAGGACGGCAGGACGACAGGATGGCAGTGCGTGGTAGATGTAGAAGCTATGCAATTTAAACTCCATCACATATCTTCAATATCTGCCTACAACATATTTGCATAAAAAAAAAATTGAAGGAAAACCTAACAATTATCACAAATAATTTTAAATAGATTCAAATTTATTGCATGACTCTTAGTGGAAGGCTTTTAATATTCGTTCACCTCTCGCTGTTCTGCATTTGTTTTGCTTTTCTGCCAGCCATTGTTAGCTTAGGTTTCAGCCAGTGCATAAATTTCAGCATCCCAAATACAAAAAAAAATAAAAATAAAAAAGGCGCTGCATAAATCTTTGCTGCAGCAGCCACATTTAATTACAAAAGTTTTTCACAATTTCGGACGATACTCCTCTCTCTCTCTCTCTCTCTCTCTCTCTCTCTCTCTCTCTCTCTCTCTCTCTTTGCTCTCTCTTTATAGTTTGGCAACAGCCTTAAATCAGCGGTATTTTGTGCCCAAAAATTATGACACACACACATGCACACACACACACATACACACACACATACACGCACACCCTCACACCCGCTGGAAACGCTTTGGGCGCATTCACAGTTTACAGCGTCCAGGACTTTTATTGGCTGCCAAATGGGCGACACTTGGCTACTTGTCCACTTGGCCAGTTGCTCAAGCCTCGTCCCGTTTGTCGTGCTGTCCGGTGGGGCCAGCTTGGCCGGTTTGGCCTGGCGCAGCCATAAAGGGTACTTTTGTGCTTTTTTCTTGTTTTTTTTTTTTTTTTTTGTTAACCGCTTGAAGCGTTGCCCCGAAATCAGTTAACAGGCAATTTCAACTATTTTACAGGCTGTGTTCGGCATGCCAAATGACCGAAGCCAAATGTCAATACCATCAACATGCTGAACGGACCGAGAGTCATGAAATAACCAACAGCCATGTGCCATGCCATGGCATGCCATGGGCGGGTCAGCTATCGAACAGCATCGATAACAGCAAATTCACTTTAAGTTGACTCTTTTCCTGCACAGTTTTTCCTTTTCTTTTCTTTTACCAATTTAAGCGTTTGGGTTTGCCAAATGATTTGGTATTTTTTAAATACCAACAAAGCAAAGGGTATATCATATTGCATAGGCAAAGTATCTGTATATCTCTTGAATATTTTCATTCAAGTATAATATTAGCAGCATTAAAAGTAATATTTAGTCTACGCCTAATATCCATATCCAAAGTTTCTTCAGCTTCAGCAATATTTCAAAAGCAATCTCAATGGCTTTCATCCATTAGTTCAATTCTCCCATAATATCCCGACCTGATGACTACTGAAACTACTTCAAAACGTTGTTTTCCTTTAAATGGATCGTCACATATTTTCTTGGAAAGCAAACAAATAATGATTACCCGGAACTATAATGCAAATTATTGAATTATTTGAAGTGTTGACTATTTGTTTTTTTGTTTAACATTGTTTTCATATTTTCTGGAGCTCCCGCAGCTCGACAAACAAATTTACTTAATTTGTTGCTGCGCATTCCAGAAATGTGGTCCACTCACTGATAAGAACACCGACGCTTGGCTATAAAAAGAGCTCGACCGATCGAGCTCTACATTCACTTCAAAATCTAAACACATTTCACTTAAATGCATACAATGAGAGTTTGTGAGTTGGCATTCGTCTCCTCTCTGCCAGACCGGCATTTCCTTAACAAGCGATCCTTTCCTTATCCTTGCAGATAACATGAAATTGTTCATGGTTGTGATTGCGTTGTTTGCGCTGGCTGGTTCCAGTGAGGGACAAGCACCGCCGTGCGATGGGTCGGAGACAACACAGCCACCCTGTACGACAACAGAGCTGCCCTGTACGACAACGGTGCCACCCTGTTCAACAAGCCCACCTTGTACTACAACGTCCCATTGTACTACAACTAATACACCCTGTACGACAACAGAGCTACCCTGTACGACAGCAGAGCCGCCCTGTACGACAACAGAGCCACCCTGTACAACAACGCCCCCTTGTACAACAACGCCACCCTGTACAACAACGCCACCCTGTACAACAACGCCACCCTGTACAACAACGCCACCCTGTACAACAACGCTTCCTTGCAAAACAACGTCGCCCTGTACTACAACGCCACCCTGTACTACAACGCCACCCTGTACTATAACGCCACCCTGTACTACAACGCCACCCTGTACTATAACGCCACCCTGTACTACAACGCCACCCTGTACAACAACGCCCCCTTGTACAACAACGCAACCCTGTACAACAACGCCACCCTGTACAACAACGCCACCCTGTACAACAACGCTTCCTTGCAAAACAACGTCGCCCTGTACAACACCACCTTGTACAACCACTGAGCCACCCTGTACAACAACAGAGTGCACAGATACAATTGTAACAATTAGCCTTGCCAAGCCCCGCTGTAAATGCCCCTCTGGCCTAGGCGATTGCGACTGCGCCGCGTTAGAAGACGCCGCAACCCTGCTCTCGGCATTCGACTGCCGTGGAATGAAGGATGGCACGATCCTAACGGATCCCAGGCACTGCCGCAGATATTACGTGTGTCGCAATAACCGGGCCAGACGCCAGACCTGTGCCGCTGGCCAGTGGTTCGACCGCAGGGCCAAGATCTGCCTCAACCGCGCGCTGGTGACAAACTGTTTGCTGGGCCGCAACTGAGAGCTGGACACACCCTGTGCTCGTATACATTAATACATACATTTTTTTTCCTTTTTTGAATAAAGTATATAAATGCAGCAATAATTCGCTTCTTTAAAAAAAAAAAGGAACTTCGAGCTGAGCTTCGTAGCTAGACGCTGATAAATAGTTTCTCGTTCCGTCGTCTATTAATGTCGTTTTGTTAATAGAAATCCTGGTCTAAGCTGACGATTAAGCTGTCTCGACTGCCAGAAGCGTCTTCGCCAAGGCCCAACGGACGGTTTTTCACGCTCGGCCCGTCACGAGCTGCCATCAATTTTCGGCCCTTAACTGAGCAAAAAACGTTGAAGCTGTGAAGAACTTTCAATCRGGCAACAACAACAAATGGCTAAGGCAACGGCAAAGGCAAAACAAGGCAATAAATTTGTCAACACTTTAGGCCAATAACCGCGAGCACAATCTGAATGTAACTATAACTTTGTCTGTCACCCCTGACCCTCTGGGGGCAAAAGGGGCGTGGGTAGTGCGAACTGGGTAGTGGGAATCGAAATTTGAGTCAGAGCTGGAGCTGGAGCTGGAGCTGGAATCGGAATAAGAATCACTTGGGATTCGTGTAACATGCGCTGCAAAGTTTGCACCAGCTCTGTGGGATTTGGTGTTTATAGAGAAAAAGGCGTCAGCTTTTGGGGCGCCACAGAGCAGCATTTGTGAATTGTTGCATCTGGCGTTATAATATTGTGCTTTTCTTTACCATACCCTATATTCATAGAATTGAGAAAGGGTATATATGCAAAGGGTGTTTGTTTCATGAACTTATTGATTTAAAAAATTTATTGATTCGAGTTTTTCATTCAAGCGAACACTCCATTAGAATTCAGCTCATTAAAGCCTTTTCACTTTTTTCCTCATGTCTAGACATGACTAAATATCATATATTTATATTTATATCCTTATATACTTAAGCCCGATTTCATATAGAAGAACGTTAACAGTTCCTATAAGGGGTCTCATTAATTAACTTATCTTTAGTTTAGTATGTCCTTATCTCTCTCTCCCTGTCGCTCGCTCGTCTGTCTCTCTCTATGCCTCTCTCGCTGTCTCTCTCTCTCTCCGAGTCTTTCTGTCACAATATATCTTTCTATTTATATCGCTTTCTCTCGCTCTCTCTCTCCCTTAACATTTCGTTCTCATAATAATATTGTCTCGACTTCTCCCTCCCTCTCTCTCTCTCTCTCTCTCTCTCTCTCGTTATCCCCCATGCACACAGGGTATATCTTAGTCATTCATTCTCATTCTTTTCACATACACAGACACGCACACTTGCACACATTTACTCGAGAGAATCAGAGC